ATCCAGATATCAATATCCGGATATCTCTCTTCCAATATCCGGATATTCAGATCCCCATATCCGAATATCAATATACAGATACCCATATCCGGATATCAATATCCGGATATTCACAACAAAATATCCGGATATTTCCCGACAGAACCCAGATTCTGCATTTCGCGAAAATCCAAACCAAAGGTCCAACTTTTACCGATTACAGAAGCTTAAACATGTATTTCTAAGTGTGTTAAGCATTACCCAACGTTAGGTTATCATCTTAAGCTCATTACATGCATCAAGGTTCCATTTTTAACCAATAACTCATGATTAAAGGTGGTAACACTTACCCAAGCTTCAAGGCAGCAGCTATGGGTGCTCTTGGAGCTCACACTTCAGCTCCAAGGTTTTGACTTTGACAACCACGAAAATGACACTCCAAGATGGTGTCTTTCCCCACAAAGCTCACTACTTGGAGCTCACAATGGCAAGAACAAAGCTCTCACCACCTCAACTCAAGAGGACAGCACTCAAAGCCACCAAATAGAGGACACTACTCAGCCAAAGAGCAATCCACGCCCTCCCAAGACACACCATCACAAGGCTCAAGTGTTTAGGATGAAGAATCCACCAAGAAAATGGTCTCTTGCTTGAGTTTTGGTCAAGAACAAGGGAAGAGTGGCAATGGAACAATGTATCAGCCTCCTATTCACGTAGCAACAGAAAGGATGCCTAGGGTTTTGGGCCAAAAGAGCCTATATATAATGGTTTAAGTCTTAAACACACAGTATTAACTTTAATTGCTACGCTTAGCATTTTAATCCCAAACTCAGGATTCTTAACCTACTCAATTTTACAAGAATTATCATATTTTTATTTTATTTTTCGGAGCACCTTTCCGGTACGCGCTTTTCATACCCAATATTAGTTTCTGGCACCAGTTCTCATTATTTTAACTTGAAACTCGTTTTACAAGTCCTATATATTATTCTAGGAATTATCATGCAGTTATTATAATTTTTCGGGATACTTTTTGTGGTACGCATTTATACCGACTAGCGGAACCGGTATCTGTACTTTTCTTCCGAAAAGCGACTTTCAACATTCTTAATCACTTACTATAATTATTAGATCCTCATAATAATTATTAGGGTCAATTATGGAATTATTTCCTAATTCTCATAGATAATTAATTAATTTCCTTAATTAACGGTGCGGGTTCTTACAAGAACCCTATTTGGAAATTCAACATGATAATGTAGAAGTGGAATTAGTAGAAATATTAGTACCACATGTAGAAGAACAATATCAAGGATTTGTTAAACATGTAACGTGTGGAGCATCAAGAAATTGAAGATCCACCATCTGACCCAAACTTGAATCTATTTATATATACACAACGTCTAGTGCAGTACATTCAAAGTAGAAGAGAACCTTATTAACCCTCAATTTACATTGATCCCACTAGTTAAGATAATCCACTAGAAGATGTTGCTGATCAAGTATTGCTCAAAGCTATGAACCATAAGGTGGTTTGTATTTCAACTTTGTCCATCCCCAGTAAAGGCACCAAAGGGTGTAAGACCCACTAGGTGTGTATGGACCTACAAGGAAAATAGAGGATGGAGGTGAAAACCTTCAAAACTAGTTTGGTGGCAAATATTTGCCAGAAGCCACGCTTGAGTCTATCCAGATTCTCTTAGTTGCTGTTAGAAGACTCAATTACGATATTTTATTTTGGGAGATGGATGTCAGAATAACCTTTTTGAATGAGAATTTAGAAGAGGATATCTACATGCAATAACCAAAAAGGATATATAGCCAATGGGCAGGAACACATAGTATGCAAGTTGTGAAAGTCCATTTTATGAATTTAAGCAAGGTTCCAGGTCATGGAACATCAGTTTTGATCAGGTTATCAAAAATTTTATTTTGAGAAAACCTTGATGTATCGTGTGTGTTTGGGTGTAAAAGGATTCAAGGGGAGGCAATAGTTTTTCTAATACTTTATGTAGATGATATGCTCCTTATTGGAAACAATATGGAGGCATTATCAGGCATAAAGAGTTGGTTGAGTAAGCATTTTGAGATGAAAGACCTGGGAAAGCCAATTATATTCTTGGTATAAAACTCTAATGAGACAGGAAGAATAAGTTGTTGACATCACCTTAGGCTATTTACATTGACAAAACTCTTGCCAAAGTTCCACATGGGGAATTCTAAGAGGGGAATCATATCTCTCATATGTCGAATTCATCTTCCTAAGGAGTAACCTCTAAAGACTCCTAAGAAGGAAGAATGCATGAGTAGAATACCTTATGCTTTAGCAATAGGTAGTCTCATGCATACCATGTTGGACGTTAAACTAGACATCTGCCACACAGTGGAAGTAGTAAGACAGTACAATTCTGGACCTAGAGGAACAATAGATTATTGTTAAGCATGTACTTAAATATCTTCGAAGAACGAGAGATTTCACAGATTCACTTTTTCAACTGGATATTGACTAAAGAAAATTAACCTCGAGCTATGAAGTTTACATTAAACTAAGATATCATCAGATATGGATCTTGCAGACCCAGTTACTAAGAGTTTGTCTCAACTTGTGTTTGAGAGGCATGTCACTCCCTTTGGTCTTAGGAGGATCCCAGAATTACATTAAGCGAGTGAGAGATATTATGTTTATTATACTTTTGGAGTAGGACAATAAAACAATGTAATCATTTTCTGAATTTTACAAATGAGATATTATTCATTATTATGTACACAATTTACAAACATTAAGGTCCGGATCAATGTGGAGTATATGATCATTTGGATATGTTCATAGAGGACATGATCATAGGTTCTCATGATGGTGAATTGGTTCATTGTTGTTAAATAAAGTTGGGCGCTTTATTTAGGCTGCAATATTTTATGAAAGGGTTTTGTCCGAATCATTGTAAAATATTGGTGTGAATTAAGATTCACTTTGAGGGGATTAAGGAGAGATTTAATTAAAGTTATTTTCTCTTTCATAAGGTATCAAATATCTAGTTAACTATATTATGTGATTGCTTTTAATCCTGAGCTTATTTTAAATAAGTAATTAATAGTTTTCATTCTTTGATATACCAATAGGTGAGGTCCGATCTATTGATCGCCAATAGCTCGATATTTTGGGAGTGAGATTATTTGATTATCAGTATTTATAAGATAAATAACATGGAATTTGTATGATATGTCCTCTTGATATGTTTCGGTACTTGGATATTGAAGACACTGGCAGTGCATGTAATCCATTAGAGAAACTATCACAATCATAGGAGTAAATAATTGATTGAGTAATAGAAAACTCATCAATCAATTATTGACATTCTACAGAGGGGCGATGCATATTCATGTTAAATGTGTTATTAATCTTGGATTTAAAGTTTGGGCTTTTAGTAGAGTAGCTCCGAATTAGATAATCATTCGTTGATTATCAGGAGCCTTGATTAATAACAGCTGATAGATCCCCAGGCTAGCTCGAGATATTTAGGATGAGGCATTTTCAGTTGATGACAACTAGTGAGTTACATGGTCTTGAGCTTTGCGCTCAAGTTTGTACTCAAGAGCAAGTGGGAGATTGTTGAGTTTTTTTCTTTCACTAAAGCCCAATTAAGCCTAGTGTGTAAGAGCCCAAGAAACCTAGAGCTCATTCAGCTTATGGAGGTTTCTTGGAACCCATATATATTCTACACTTATAGTTATCAGCCTCCAGGTCTTCACTTTCTGGTGGCAAAGGCTGAGGTAAGGTCATCTCTTTGATAGTGAGAGAATGGCTATACACTAGCCCTATGCCCCTTAAGATATAGTCTGGAAGATCTTCCACTAACCAGCCTCAAAGATATTGTTCGTGCAAATTTGAGCAATTCGTGAAGGGGAATCAAACACGAGGAGATATTGCACAGATCTGCATGACAAGCGATAAATTAGAATGATGATGATCCATCGCATCCCAAACCTCAACGGTCTAAACGCTTCTGCAGATCAAATTGTGCCTACAGAGCCCACTAAAGAGAAGAGAAAAAAAAAATGAGTCTCACCCATTATTTTATATGTGCATAACACAAAATTATCTCATATAACATAAGAAACTATCTTCCCATCATATCTTAATCCTCAATTTCATTTGTATTCAGGTTGGATGACGATGGGTTATATGGTTTTAATTTTTCAGAACTCGAAACCCGACCCAATACACCTTGTTCTTTAACTTCTTAACTCTCGACGCCAACTATGTTGCACTAACATCGACACGGGACATGACACGGCACTCCGACATATTAATTCTAAAAAATGTTAGATTTCAAGTTTTGATATTAAATATTATATTTAATTGATGTAGTTTATATTATATTATATTTAATATTCAATAATTTAACAAAAAAATGAAACTAAACTCATAATATCAATCAATTTTGTAAAGAAACATAATATGTAAATATTTACAATTATCTTTTTAAATTGAAAATCTCTTATACACTCTAGTGAGATTTATTCGGTATCGATTTTTAATTTTTATTATATCAGTTTAGTAAAATATCGATCAATTTTTTCATAATATATGATAAAAAATTAAATATTATAGATGTCAGAATGTGTTAGAGTGTCAAGGAGTATCAGGATGTCAAGGAGTGTTGAACATGACACTTTAGATTTTTTGAAGTGTCGGTGCAACATAGAATCCATCAGGTTGTTATGTAGTGAAGTAACACATTCCTCAATTAGTTCATTAATTCTTTCCATTCACTCTTAAATTCCCAATAATCTCAATCAAATTATATGATTCTTAAATTATTCTTACCCAATATTATTCCCGACGCCGCTGAACTAAATTTAAAAATGCAAAATTTGATATAAAATAAAAAGTCAATAGAAGTGTTATTTGCACAACTTCACTTCCACTTTTTTATTTATTTATTTGACGTACATAGTTCATCTCCGCTGGATAGTAAACATATTTCAAAAACAACATATATTAATTATGTTATTACAACTCACTTCACAGAGTACTTTATGAGTCCAGGAAGGTGGGTGTTCAACATGTAGTCAATCCAATTAATACTCCTTGGATCAAAGTTAAATGTTCCATGGGTTTCATCAGCTACCTGTTTTGTTGCCATGCGCAAATTTTCTGCGTTCTTGTCATCAAAGCTGTTTTAACAAAGATAAACCAATCAATAATTTGTATAGCTCTTGAAAAAGGGAAAGTTCATCAGTTTAAGAGTCTTTTGTACTTACATGACCTCAAAGAGGAGATAAGGTTTACACAATCTTACTATGTTCATCAATGTTTTGATTTTCCGTTGACTTTCATTATAAAAATCCCCGTAACAGTTCCAAAATACCTTGTTCATCACATTTAATCCCTTCAAAGTAAAGCAAGTAAAATAAAAGAATGAAAGATTATAATTAGTTGGATAGCAAGAGGGGAACATAACAAAAAGAAAAAGAAATTATTGTTTTATATCATATAATAAACAAAATCTTATTATTTATTAGGGTTTAGTGTATGTCATTTAAAAGGATACAAGTTGTGTTCTTTTGGTGACTTATACAGAGTATGACTGGTTATACTCTGTGTAATTCTGAAAAGTTATTTTTTTTCACGTTACACGTCAGCGATGTGACTGGGAAGAGAAAAAAAAAACTTTTCAGATTTACACAAAGTATGACTGGTCATACTTTGTATAAATCATCTAAAAGGACACAGCTTGTATCCTTTTAAATGATACTTCTTTTTCCCTATTTATTATTATTATTTTGCTAGCATCTAACTATCATGATGAAATTGAGGTTCAAACCATTAGAGGAATCACATATCGTATCTTGATGTTTCTGTTGAAGGAACTCAAGCTTGAGATCCACGTGATTTTCTTTGGGACAGCCACAGGTTTTCCATATTTGTCGACCAGAGGATTTTTAGTAAAGTATTGGTGGGCTATATCCTCAAAATCGGAAATTCCGAAAGGGTTTCTCAATGAAGAACCAATATGGTATATCAAAGTCTTGGAATGTCTCTTTGAATGAGCCACTAATGCTATGATCATGGAATTTATGACCATGTCCGCGGGTATCTGAAAGCATAATAATCATTTCATTTTCTTCGGTTGTAAATTTAAAATCAAGTTTTCGATGTGTGAAAAAAAATTGAAAAAAAAATTGCTGAAATAAATTATGGGTAACTTGCCACATCAAATATTGTCTTTGGGTGGCCAAGAAAACTTCTTAATGTTCCTTTACCATACTTGACAAACAGAACGTCAAGAGTTCTGCAATTACAAAATTAAATTATTTAATTACCCAAACATACACACCCCATTTACACACACACAATATGGAGCATATGTTTAAGTGATTCTTCAAAACATATACCTCACACCTTCAATCCAACCGGGAAATGGTTCAGAGTGAGTACTGATTAACATAGTGGGGCGTGCGATGATCAACGGTACATCATCTTTCATATTCAACAAAACCATCTCTCCCATTGCTTTGGTAAATACATAGGTATTTGGAAATCCATTTAAATTTGCCCTAGAAATTGATTATTGGAAAACACAAGCTCAAAATTAGAGGGACGAAAGGTAAAAAGTGCGTTGATGGTTAGATTCCAAAAAATACCTTAGAATTCCAAAGTTTTTCATCACAGATGTGATTGTTTGTTCACTAGCATTTTGTAATCGGAGTTCATTCAATTTTTCCTCAATTAACTGCTTTTCTAAGTTGATATCTAATCTTGAGGACCCGTTTAGCGTGTGACCTATATGCAAAGGTTCCTCACGTATGAGTCCTTTAGCCTCCCCGCATACATAAGCTGAAAGTGAAACTCCAACTAGTTAGTAATGCATAATTGATGCATGGGGATTTAATTAGGTAATGAAAGAAATAATATATATAAAGTCCAATTAAAATTTGACTTTATAAATCTGGACATAAATTGCTTATATAAAATTAATCAGCATATTTAAGTAAGAACAAAATCGATTGAATTTTCTTTTAGCTTAGCATCACCAAAGTGTTAATTAATGAATTAATTTCAAGTTTTGTTACTCATCAATTATTTGTGCTAAAATCTGTGTACTTATCTATCTTTTTTTCTTTTTCTTTTTTTATACCAACCCGATTTGCTCCTTGGGTATTCCCTATTAAATTAAGAGTAAATACATTTTTTGGTCCATAACAAAAAACACAGTTTTCACTTTAGTCCCTTACAAAAAAAAATTAGTTTCGAGGTCCCTAAAAAATTCAAAGTGGACCCATTTAGTTGAAATCGTGGTCCCTCACAAATTCAAAAAAGACCCATATTAGTCCCTCAAAAGGACTAAAATGGGTCTATTTTGAATTTCATAGAGATCAATCGACTAATATTTTTTGTAAGGGATTAAAGTGAGAATCGTAATTTTTATTAGGGACCCAAAAGGGCATTTACTCTTAGATTAATCTTTAGTTGAAGCTTGATCACATTTAAAGCTTTTCACCTCTCCTTATAAATGTATTTGGTAAGAATCGAATACAGATTCTCTCTCCACCTATTCTGTATGTATTGTCAATTGAGTTATACCAATTGAGTAAAGTACTGCCATAAAGAAAACCAGATTACAAAAGAAAATTCAAATAAACGACTATTTAAGGTTGGGAAAAGTGTGTATAATTTTGAAGGATGTAAAGTTGTGTCATTTTAAGAGAGAGAAAGAGATAGATAAAGGAGGAGAGAGAGTTGACAAAAAAAATAATGTTGTGGGTCCCACCTCTTTGTGAGAGTGAAAGAATGTAAGTTATGTAATTTAAAAGTATAGACACTTTTCCCTTTAATGTTAGTGTTTTTCAGAATAACAAAACGAAGGAATTAGGTAGGGGTGGATGAAGGCAATAAAAACTAAAAAACTAATATTAGATTCGTAGGAGGAGGGGATAAGTTGAAGTGAGTGGTAAAGCTTTGCACAACGAATAATGGAAGGAAATTAACTTTTATGCTCACACCAAAACATGATGTTCGTGTCTATTTATAGGTCTCAAAAGAAGTTTCCAGTGACCATAACTAAATATTTATTTTTAATCCCTATTCCAGATCTTTACAATTAATTGAACCTTGTAGTATTTTTAGAGCTTATATAATCTTATAATACTTCTGAAGTTTTTATCTTCTAGAATTTGGACTTGGGCTCTCAAGATATGGGTCACATTCACAAATTCAACAATTAAATTGAACAATTAATTCTTTAATTTTCCGTAGGCACGCGGGAACTTTGTTGAACTGATTATTACGTACCAGTAGATACATGGAGAAGAATTTCAACTTTACGGCAAGTCTTAGCAAAGTTCAAAACATGCAGAGCTCCCATAGTATTAACACCCATTGCAATATCCAATCTGCACAAAACAATATTTTTATACATAAAATTGCATGCAGCTTAATTACTAAGATTATGGCTATCTTATTTATTAATTAACCTCTCGTCAAACTTGGTAGTTGCAGCACTGTGTACTATGATATCTATCTCTTCCAACATCTCTTCCCTCAGATTTAAGTCTTTAAGTTCCAAGTTCTCAACAGAAACATCGCCGGCAACTGCAATCACTTTCTCCGATATGAAGGAATCAAAATCTTCACCCCACTTATCTCGTTGTACACTGAACAAGTCCTTTGCAAAGACCTAGATGTATGTAAAATAAGTGGGAATAAATTACATATAAAAATGTAAACTTCTAAGACGGAGTGAAAATTAATATTTAATAGTTAAATAAAGGAAAATAATTTTCTTATGTTGTAGAAAAAAAGATATATCATATAATAAAAACAAAATTACAAGTGGAACCTACATGTAAGAAGAAAGATAAAAAAGAGATGGGACACATAAATTTGTTTCTCTCATACAAAATAAGATAAATATAACATTTAAATAAATTGTGTACCTCATTGTGCAAGCGTTGGGTAGCTAAATGAGGATTTTCTGCTCTTAGAAGAAGATATAACTTTTTTATGTTTGGTTGAACCCTTAGAATCTTCTCCACAAAAACTGCATAAATTAATAACAACATTAATTGAACTAATCCTCTCTTTACAGAAAAATTTGGGAGTAAGATAGATGAAGACATCATGTACGTTTCGCTAAGAATCCTGTTGCACCAGTAACTAGAATGGTCTTGCCCTTTAGAAAGTCGTAGACACTTCCCAACTGCTTCATAGGTAGATCAGTGTTACAGCTAGTTAATGATGACATTTCTAATTATTAACCTGAAATGTATATACTAGAAGAACTTTGCTTATTGCCAATTGCCACTGAAACAATCTATTTATATAAAAAAATTTGATAGTTGCACTTGTTGAATCAGGTGAGAGAGAGAATAATTAAAGCTATACATTAATATCCAAAAAAAAAAGCTATACATCACATCAGAGCTACCTGGGCAGTTGGGCTTGTTAGAAAAAGTGGAGGTGATCTAGTTCTAAATAATTTAGTGAAAAAGGGCACTAATTCAGTCTCATGAATTAATTGTATGAAAAACTTAAGTTATTAATGTTAAATAATTTTCAAAGTTCATTGTGGACTTAATTAATTACTAGGCTTAGTTCTAAAACAAGGGTTCAAATATATGGGCTAGTTTAACAGGTGTAATTATCCGGGGTTGGTTTTTTTACTTGGGACGAGCCTGACCAATCTATTGTGAAAGTGCATTAAGGTTAGGAATTAATATACTATAAGTACATTATGGAAGGATCTCTAGGTTAATTCCAACTTTTTTACAACTAAGAGAAACGTTCCAAGAGAAAATCATATGATTGTGGAAGAGCTCTTCCAAGGTGTTCATCATATTTTTTTTTTTGTCTAAGATCGAGACTCAGAGTTTAGTAAATCATATTTATTCTTCTTTAGATTATATTGCATGATTGTGTTCTATGGATTTATCTGATTTATAGTTTGGATTTTATTATTAAATCCTAAGGTTAATGTAACAATTAATTAATGATGTGTAAATAATTTTATATTACATATCTAATATTGTATTGTAGTTGTATAACACCTCGCATTTCTAAAACATGTATTTATATATTAAATGTGGATTAAAGGGTAGGATTAGTGAAAATCCTGAAATTAAGGTCAAAATAAAAAGAAAGGGTAAAACGATAATTAGCCAAATACGTAACCCTAGGAAAATAAAATTGAGTATGAGGTCTCTAATGGGAAAACTAACCCTAGAAATGAATTCAGAACGAAAAATTGAGTGACTAGACAAGTTTTCTGAAAATTTGGTTAATAGTATTTTTTCCGGGTAAAATATTGCGATAAAGTTGCACCGTAAAGCGTGCCGAATGAATTTTGAGCTCTAGATTTGGATATAAGTTATAAATGGTATATAGGACTAGGAAATAAGATTTCTAGTGAAAATTGATGGAAATTAGATTGTTTGGGGAAGCGTGCCCACAACGCGCATAATAGCTTAAAAATGCGATTTCTCCGAACGACAGGAAAACTCTGGATTCATCTGATTAAGGACAATGGTTAATGTTAAAAATTAGAGTTTCTAAATAGTTTATGAAATTATGGACGTATAGTGGAATAGACGGGAGATTTGAATTAATTTGAATCGCGTGAGGTGGCGGTGGGACCCACCCCACTTAAGTGACTATATGACAACACCTCCATGTCAGTATTCATCATCTTTTTCTTCTTCCTCTCTCCTCAAAACCATGTGTAACACCCCGTGTATGGGTTTGTTAACATGCCATAGTTTAAGCTACGCTTAATTAAAAAGATTTTTTTTTCAATTATGACGTCATTATCATTACCAAGTTGAATTACTTATTTCATTTCTAAAACATTTCCTGTATGTAAATTGCAAAGACAGATATCTATACTGAATAACCTCATATCATAAATAAGATCATTAACTGAGTCTCTAGTCACAACACTACAACACGTAAGCCGGACAACCCTGATGGTTTATACAACTCAAAACTAAACAACGATATATAATCAAATGTGACATGGACAATCCCCGTGCCCACCAAATGAGGCAACAAGGCCCAACATCAGTCTCAATTCAATAACATAACATGAAACTAAAAGCATAATAGCAACAGGCATAATCCAGCATCCAACATAACCAGCAAAACAACATATAAATAAGCTAAGCTCTGGCCTCCTGCCGCTAGAGGTCTCAACCCCCGCATTATCTGAACCTGAAATATGTGCCCCAAACGTGGGGTGAGATCTCTAAAAAGAAATCTCAGTAAGACAAGGGGTCCTCAAGGATCTTCCACCCCAAGCTCACTCACATGTGCAATATAAGTTCTAAAAGCAGTAATTCAATATCAGTTCCAAAACCAGTGCAATGCAGCACATAATCATGTCATATGTGTTATAACTAATCTACTGGCAAAAGAAATGCAGGAATACGTCTATTACCCACACTAGTGCAAAACGCCACTTGCACCCACCCACAGTGTCACCGTCTTGTATGACGCCACATACTCAGGCTTACCGTCTAAGTGGAACAACACATACATATTATAAGCAATTTCACATAAAGCTCAACAACATTTTCAATTATCAAAGCACGTAAACATATCATGCATATAAAACATCCCCCATGGGGTATGGTGGAACCACACAATGGCTAAACCGAGGACACAAAAGCTTACCTTGCAAGCTAGCTATCCAAGCCAAGAGTCCACACAAGCTCAAGTCCAAACACAACAGAATCACAATCTGTTTTGGACCAGTAATCATATCAACAACCATAGCTCATAAGCATATACATAAAGACAACGCTTCTCTTTTACGTTTCATGTCTTAAGGCTTCTCACAAAGCCACAAGCCCTTAATCACTTAGATTTTGACTTAACAAGTCATTACAGAAGTCCAACTTCATCAATCTAGGTTCCACAAACCTATAACTCAGTTCTGTATGAACAGTACCATTACTGTTCACGCAAACCCAGAATATCCGGATCTTTGTAGGGGACATATCTGGATATCACATATCCGGATATCATATCCGGATATGCATATCCGGATATCCATATCCAGATATCCATATTCGGATATCACAAGACCTCATATCCGGATATCATATCCGGATATTTCGCGACAGAATGCAGTTCTGCATTTTTGCGAGATATCACTCCAAAGATTCGGTTTTTAATCCATTAAAACGTCCAAGCATGCATCTTTAAGCCCCTTTAGGTTCATGTTCAAGTTGGTTACTCATTTAACTCATTAACATGCTAAGACTCAACCTTTAAACCAAGAAAACTCATGATTAAAGTTGATAACACTTACCCAAGGCTCAAACTCAGAAAAAGGTTGCTCTTGGAGCTCACCAACCAGCTCCAAAGATTCAGACTTCAAGACTCACGAAAATGAACACCAAGGTTGCTCTTTTACTTCAAAAAATAGCTCCTTGGAGCATCAAAATACCAAATAAATGGCCACTCCCACAAGAACACATAACACAGCCCCAAGACTCCCCTCACAGCAGCCAAATCGCTCAGAAGGTGGTCCTATTTTCCTCACCAATCACACACCCAAGTGTCTACAAGGTTTTAGAGGAGGAAAATCAAGAGAAAGGTGGTAACTTGGTGGTTTTTCTTGAAGGAATAAGGTGACAAGTAGGAGGGCAAGAGCAGCAGCCAAAAACCCATGTAGAAATGCTAAGGGATCGGCCTAGGGTTATGTGTAAAAGGGTATTTATAGGCGATTTAACATTTCGCACACTGTATTAGCACTAATAGCTACGCTTAGCATTTTAATCCCAAACTTAGGATTCTGAACCTACTCATTTTTCTAAGATTGTCATATTTTTATTTTATTTTTTGTAGCACCTTTCCGGTACGCGCTTTTCCATAGCCAGTATCAGTTCTGGCACCAGTTCTCATTATTTTAACATGAAACTTGTTTTACAAGTCCTATATATTATTCTAGTGACATATAAAAACTTTTCATAATTTTCCGGGATACTTCACCGGTACGCATTTATACCGAGTAGCAGAATCGGTATCTGCACTTTTCGTCAGAAAAGCGACTTTCAGCAATATTAATCACTTACCAATATTATTTAAGCCTTCTCATGATTATTAGGGTCAATTATGAAATTATTTCCTAATTTCACATAATTAATTAATTAACTTCCTTAATTAACGGTGCAGGTTCTTACATTCACCCCACCTTTTTAGGATTTTGTCCTCAAAATCAAAAGCATACCTGTCTCGGAAGTCGGGATACTTCCGGAGAAGCTCGTCCTCTCGCTCCCATGTACACTCCTCAGGAGTTCTTCTTGTCCACTGCACTTTGACCATCAGAATGATCTTGCTCCTCAACTTCTTCTCGCCACGATCGGGAATCTTGAGTGGTCCGACGGGAGTTTTCAAGTTCTCCTGAACTTCCACATCATCCAGTTGCATCACGTGCGAAGGATCTGCTATGTACTTCTGAAGTTGAGACACGTGAAACACGTCGTGGATGTTGGCCAAGTTCGGAGGTAAGGCAAGCCGGTAGGCAACAGGTCCTACTCTACTAAGGATCTGGTAGGGCCCAATGAATCGCAGGCTCAGCTTACTCACTCCGAGGGCCCGACCAACACCGATGACAGGTGAAAGTCTCACAAACACGTGCTCACCCTCACTGAACTCCAGTGGACGATGCTTGACATCGTAGTAGCTCTTCTGGCGATTCTGCGCCATCTTCAGTTTCTCTCGGATCATCTGGATCTGCTGGGTAGTATCTTGGACAAAGTCCAAGCAAAACAACTCCTTGTCTCCAACCTCAGACCAGCAGGTAGGAGTCCGACACCTCCTACCATACAACGCCTCGTAGGGTGCCATGCCCAGGCTAGCATGAAAACTGTTGTTGTATGAAAACTCTACCAATGGCAGGTACCTATCCCATGCTGAACCCTGCTCCAAAGTGCAAGCCCTCAACATATCCTCCAATGTCTGGATGGTCCGCTCAGTCTGTCCGTCAGTCTGAAGGTAATAGACGGTACTCACTCTCAACTGCGTACTAAAAGCTTCCTGCAGCGCCTCCCAGAATCGAGATGTGAACTTCGGGTCCCTATCACTGTTGATACTCTCGGGCTCCCCGTGAAGTCTTACGATCTCGCAAACATAAAGTCTGACCAACTGCTCAGTAGTGAAGCTCACCTTCACTGGAAGAAAATGGGCAAACTTCGTCAATCTGTCCAC